ACGGTTTGTGAGCACTTCCAGGGACAGTGATTCCACCACTGCCCTGGGCAGCCTGTTCCAATGCCTGACTGCCCTTTGGGGAAGAAGTTGTTCCCAGTATCCAGTCTAAACTGCTTGAGGCAGTTGCTTGAGGCTGCCTGGTGCAGCTTGAAGTCATTTCCTTTTGTCCTATCCTTTGTTCTTTGGGAGCAGAGCCCAGCCCTCTCCTGGCTCCATCCTCCTTTCAGGCAGTTGTAGAGAGCGATAAGGTCCCCCGAGCCTTCTCCAGGCTAAACCCTCTAGGTCCCTCAGCCATTTCTCATCACACTTGTGCTCCAGGCCCTTCACTAGCTCCGTTGCCCTTCGGTAAGTTTTGTTTGTTTTTCCTTACTTTGATATTGTTGATCACACAGGCAATGGACCAGCTGTGTTGTGGCGTTAGTGTCTGACAGCTCTGCTGCCAGCAGTCCTCTCTTCCCCACAGCCAACAGTGCTTAACTGACTTCTGACTGGTGGGTACAGTAGATGCTCTGCAGTACTCAGGGTGAGGTTTCCTTGCCACCTGTCTTCACTGAGCAACTGCTGTCTTGATACTGCAGCTGTTGAGAGGACAGTTGCCAGGCATCTGTTGCAAGAGAATACAGCACTCTGGCAACACAGAGGGGTTTTTTTTCCTGACAAATACTTGACAAAGATTTAAATTGACTGATTTGGTTGTCTGAAAGAAGTAGGGATAGGATCTGAGGCCCTTAGAGACATGGTTGAGTGGTGGGCTTGGCAGTCCTGGGGTAAGGGTTGGACTCTATGATCCCAACGGATTCTATGTAGTAGGGTTTCAATCAGGTGATGTGCAAGAAGCTTATTAAAACCAAAAAAAAGGCTGCAAGTGTGTGGGTAGGGAATTTGGGAGAACAGATCTCATTACTTTGGGTATTACATCCCTGACAATATTAGCAGAAAGATGTCCTTCAACTGCTACTACTTTTTCATACTTTTCTGAAGTAGCAGTGTGACTGTTGCTCAAAACTTGCTTTCCTTGCCAGTACATTTATCCTGCACAAGGAAACACTTTTCTGGCCTGGACATATGTAAGGTGTGCCTCACTATGGGAAACTCTGGGGAGCAAAAACCCAAACCACACCATACCAACCTCATTGGAGATTTTGGAATTGCAGGAAAGACACAAAATTACGGCTAGTCCTTAGGAAATTCTATGAAAGGAATTGAGTGTTGTGGTGCATAGAACTTTTTATAGCTGGACTTTGGGCAGTTATTAATTTCCAAGACTTTTAAGATTGGTTACCCCTTTACATTGTAAGTATTTCCAGCTTTCTTCTTAACCAGATACGTGGGGAATGAAACACAGATTAACTTTGAATTGATCCTGGATAAATCCAACTTTCTTTATAGGAAAGCAAACCATGGGGTTTCCAGTTTATAACTACAAGGATCGCTCAGATAACAAGCTGTACCACCTTCACACTCCCCAGAGCCCCCTGGTGCGGCCCAGCATGTATGACTATTATGGGATGGACAGCTATCCAGTTGGCACCAATTCGATTGTGGCTGTCATCTCCTACAGTGGCTATGACATGGAAGATGCAATGGTAAGGCACTGAAGGAGAACTCCTGCTGTCCTGTAGAGGATGTTGGGGACTTGGGAGGAAGGGTGGTACCTCACTGAGAAGAGCCTGTTTGCTGCTTCTGCTAGTCCAAAGACTCTGTAAATACAGATGTAGGAGCACAGTGGTTAAGTGCTGTTACAGCAGGTAATGCTGGAGGTACTGAGAGTAGAGTGGAGCTCCCTTGGGCAAGGCATTGAGAAATACTAGGGTTCCAGGAGGTTTGGGCCTTTTGGAACAGTGACTTGCTGGGAGGCTTTGTTTAGGAAAGCAATGTTAAAAAGGTGAGCATCAGATCAGAATGGAAATGCTTTTTGTGTTGCAGTTACCATCAAGTCTTTAACAAGCCTTTGCTGTTTCTTCGTAGATCGTGAACAAATCTTCCTGGCAGAGAGGGTTTGCCTATGGAAGCGTTATCAAGATGGAGAGCATTGACCTTTCCCTTAAAGCCAGCAGGGCAGGTGATAATTTAGTCTTTGGCATCAAGCCTGGTGACCCGAACATTACGGAGAAGTTGGATGCTGATGGACTGCCTTTTGTTGGCTCCATCCTACAGCCTGGGGACCCCTTCTACAGCTTCATGAACCTCAACACAGGGGAGACCTTCACTGTGTACTATTCGTAAGTACGGCTTGTCCCTCTTGGCTCCACACACCAGTCTGAGAGCAGTTGGTCCTGGTGAGCTGCAGTATCTTCTCCTCCAGAAGTTCCCTTCTCTCCTCATGTGATAGCGTCCGTATCCTGACAGAGAGACTGTGAAGTTCATGTTGTAGGTGACTCCATGTGCCATGGCTTTTCTCTAAGCCAGTATATGCTGCAGAGCTTCTTATCCCAGGGGGAGAATCTGAGGCCAGTAAAAAGAAAGCTTGCAGAAATGTTTCATGGTCTCCAAGGACTGTTCCCCTGCCCAGCCCCTGCAGTCATTTTCTGTAGCTTCTTATGAATTGATTCACATGAGGGCTTCTGTTTAACAAGAAACACTGCCAAAAAACACCAAACAGAAAACCAAAACAAAGTGCCTGATCCCAGAGACTTGCCAGAAAAAAACTTGTAAGCAAAGTTAAGATTAGATATTAGGGAGAAATTCTTCCCTGTGAGGGTGCTGAGGCCCTGGCACAGGGTGCCCGGAGAAGCTGTGGCTGCCCCATCCCTGGCAGTGTTCAAGGCCAGGTTGGACACAGGGGCTTGGAGCACCCTGCTCTGGTGGAAGATGTCCCTGCCCGCGGCCGGGGCTTGGAACTGGATGAGCTTTAAGGTCCCTTCCAACATAAACCAGTCTGGGATTCTAAGTTGTTACAGCATTAGGGGTTCAAAGAGCATTTCTATTAACACCGCAGCTTCCAAACTGCTAGTGTATTAAAATGCATCAACTACATCCCTTCCTCCCCCCTGGAATGTTTCGGGGATAAGTTTTGTCAGATTGGTCTGAGGGAAGGCTGCTGAGGCTTTCATTTAAACTCTCTTAATTCTTTCAGGAAAGGGAAACAAAAACATTGACAAACCCATATATTTAAGTGCATCCTGCGCTCTGTACAACTTGAGGCCTTATATGTGTCCCTATAGCATTGATAAAGTGAGGATAATGCTGTGTAGCATTATGGAGGCAAATCAGTTTGAGAAGAACTTGAGTAACACACTAAGTGGTCTTACTGGACAAGCTGTTTGTTGCTCTAACGGTGCCTTAGGTGCACAGGAGACTGCTGTGGATGACTGCTCAGTCATCTTGGTGGTAGAGCAGAGCAATGAGATTCAGCACATGGTAGTGGGGGTGTGGAAGCTCAGCTTTGTCCTTATCCTTGTGGAGCCGTTTAGCTTTCTCACCCTACGCTTCTGCTCCCAGCTGTCTTGTGGCAGCCCAGCCTTAGTTCACGTTCCTTACCCAGAGAGACATTTTACTTGTGCTCTCCAGCTTTTGTTCATTCTTGGTCCAAATCTGATTATTATTTAGAATTCCTATAAAGACATGAGGTTCCCAGCTCTCAATGCGGGCTTGTGCCCCTGATTTGCCAAAAAAATCCCCCAGCTCCTTCAGGGAGAAGGGTTGCTGCCTTAACACAAAGCACATAGCACTGGGATGCAGTTTGTCAGAAAAGTAGGATACGGATAAGCCAGGTTCAAATGATCTTTATTTTAAATCACCTGCAAGTTGTAGCTGTGCTTGTAGTATGAGAAAAAGCAATCTAATGGCACTTGTGTGATGCCACTGTATTGCTTCCTCGCCCTCATGCTCATGCGGTCTGATTTCCCTGGCTACTGAGTCATACTTTTCCATAACGGTAAATCAGCTCCCTGACCCCTTTGCTGTGGTTGTTTTCCCCACCTACACAGGAGTAAGGAAGTCGGCATTGTGGACAACATCAGGTTATGCAGCAACGACCGTGGCACCGGGAAGTTCAAGAAGGCCTGTATCACCGTGAGGGTTCCCCGCAATCCAACCATTGGGGACAAATTCGCCAGCCGCCACGGACAGAAAGGTATCCTGAGCCAGCTCTGGCCAGTGGAGGACATGCCCTTCACAGAGAACGGGATGGTTCCAGACATCCTCTTCAACCCTCACGGCTTTCCCTCCCGCATGACCATTGGGATGTTAATCGAGAGCATGGCGGGGAAGTCGGCAGCGCTGCACGGCGCCTCTTACGACGCCACTCCCTTCACCTTCACGGAGAAGAACTCTGCCCTGAAGTACTTTGGTGAGACTTTAGTGAGTGCTGGTTTTAACTTCTTTGGGACGGAAAAGATGTACAGTGGCATCAGCGGCCTGGAGCTGGAGGCAGAGATCTTTGTGGGAGTGGTGTACTACCAGCGCCTGCGCCACATGGTCTCAGACAAGTTCCAGGTGAGGACAACAGGGCCCCGAGACGCTGTCACCAACCAGCCTGTCAAAGGGAGGAACGTGGAAGGTGGGATTCGCTTCGGTGAGATGGAACGAGACGCTTTGCTGGCTCACGGCACCTCCTTCTTGCTGCAAGACCGGCTGTTCAACTGCTCCGATGGCTCCATCGCCTACGTCTGCACGAGCTGCGGCAGCATGACGTCTCCCGTGCTGGAGAAACAACCCCACTCCTCCTCCATGCTGAGCAGCAGGAGGTACTCCTGCTCTGTCTGCGGCGGGGTGGACTCCATCGACGTGGTCCCTGTGCCCCACGTCTTCCGCTATTTCGTGGCAGAGCTGGCAGCCATGAACATAAAAACAAAGCTCAACGTGGAGTAGCGCTGTCCCCAGCCACGGCGATGCTGCTGCTGGCAGGGAGGAAGCACAGGTCACTCCTGCCTCTGCCCCAGTGCGGGTTTCAAGTGTTAAAGTCAGTTCTGAGGTTCTTCAACGTTTGCAAGATTAATTTGGTGTTGGTATTGCGACGGGGCGGTCGCTGAGCTGTGTGGCGAGGAAACACAGCTCTGCTGAAGTTCATTTGCACTTCCTAAAGGATCACGGGCACCAGGCATAAGGAAATCAAGCAATATCACTGCTCCCACCAGGCTGCTGTGTTGAGAGCGGTGCGGGTTCTTCGTTCTCCGAGCGCTGGCTGCAGCTGCAAAGATGAAGAAGTCATAAAACAGCATGAAGTGAATGCTGGAAATTATGGGAAAAAAGAGAGAAACTTTTGGTTTTTGGAGAAAAATCCTTGCAAAACTTATGCCTGAATGATGGGTACGGGTTAAAGTGATCGGACATGTTTTACTTTGCTTTATTTCGATACCATGTGCCTTGAAACCCATGAAGAAGAAGGCACCGACATGAAGCTGCAGCCTTGACCCCAAGAGACCAGCGTGGCCAAGCCAGGCCTGACCCGAGGAGCATTTGGTGTCGCTGAGCCCCAGCGCCCGGCTTGGTGCAGCACCGCAGGTGGCTTTTTGGTGCGTTGGCTGAAGCAGCAGCAAGCAGAGGGCTTTCCAGCCTGGAAGCGCATGGACACGGTGGGACAGGAGCTCGCCGCGTCCCCTTCTGCAGCTGCTTTCCCGGTGGCCGCCGGCCCCGGAGCTGTGTGCCCGTTAAAGAGTTCTTTTGTACGTTTCTAATCACCTCTGTGCTGAGCCGTGCTGGGGGCCGCGGGTGAGGACGGGCTCCGCGGGGCGCCCTTCCCAGGGCTTGGCGGGCGGCGGCAGGCGGGAGGCGGTGGGGGGGTCCCCGGTGGGCGAGGCCCGGGGCCGCCGTACCCCCGGCGGCTCCTGCCCGCTCTGCACCAGCCGCAGAACCTCCGCGAAGGACGGGGCGGGTGGCGGCGCGGCGGGGACCGCAGCCGGGACCGGGGCCTTTTCCTGCTCCATGGCGCGGCCGGGGTGCGGATGGACCGTACCACCGAAGCGGGGGGGGGGCGGGCGCTACCATTGTACCACTGCTGCTGGAGGGGAGGCAGGCGGTGCCATTGCAGGGGAGGCGGGGGACAGCAGCCAGTCCCCGCAGCCCCGGGGTCCGCCCCGCCGCGATGCCAGGTGATGGGCGGCGGTTGGGGGCTGAGCCCTCGGCAGCCGCTGCGGCTGCCATGGAGGTGCCCTGGGTGCTGCTGGCTGCTGCTCTGCTCCTGCTGCTGCCCTGTGAGTACCCCCGGGAGGGACAGCCAGGCAGGGAGTGAAGGACAAGTGTGGTGGGTGGGATGTGCGGGGGACACGGTGCCCCCCTAACCCCTGTCCCTACAGCTGGCAGGGCTGCTGGGCCACTTCCCACCCTGGCCCCACCGCTGAGCATGGAGGTGGCTGGGCAGCACCGGCGGCTGGTGGTCTGCGTGGTGAGTGAGCTGGCCCCTGGCTCCGGCCATGCTGTCTGGATCTCCGGTGGGAATGGCAGCATCCTGCAGTCGTTTTCCTACGGGGCCTCCCAGGAGGACGGTGGAACTATCTGCACCGTCTCCCTCCTCCCCGATGACCTCCCAGCTGAGGGGGATCTTGCCTGCCATGTGGGACCCACCACGACCTCCCCAGCCCAGAGCTCCAGCCCCATCCCCATCACGGGTATGGCCCCCCTTGATACCCCGTCTGCCTGCCTTGGTGCTGCTGCCCAGCACCATGGTTCCCTCTGAGGATGGGGGATCCAGGAGCAGGTGTGAGGCCCCACAAGCCAACGTTGCTGCCCCAGCGGAGAGGCACAGGAAGGGGTTTGCGGTGGGCCCTGCCTCACACCTGTTGCCTCCCCAGCTGCTCTCTCATCCCACAGGCAATGAGGAGGTGGCAGAGCTGTGTCCCAGCAAGGTGGCTGGTGAGTCTCCAGTCCATGTAATGGTGGGAAAGTCTGTTGTCACAGAGGGAGCCCTGTCGGGCTGTTGGCAGGGACCCAGCTGGGACCATTGGGTGGTTAGGGTGGGTCCCTGCAGTGGGGTAGGACTGGGGAAGAGGGGATGAAGCTCTGTCTTGGTGTGGAGGAGGGATAAAATGGGTCAGAGGGAGAGTGTGAGGGTGTCACAAGGTGTCTTAGGGAGGTGTGAGGGTGGCAAAAGCCCATGACAGGCCCTGGGGACATTGCTGGGCCTGAAGTCTTGGGGACACTGGCCCCGTTGCAGCACTGGAGGGGATGGTGGGTGGCAGCAGGGTGCCTGTACGAGGCATCACCCTGCCCCTTCCATTGCAGTGCCGCTGCGCCACGCCTCAACAGCCCTGCTTGTGGCCGTGCGGGTGGTGCTGCTGAAGGTCGCGCTCTCCAGTGCCCTCTTCACCTCCGTTCTCCTTGCCCAGAGCTGAGAGGTGAGTGCTGGGTTGGCCTTTGGAGCACCCCCAATCGGGGGAGGGAGGGACCCCGTGTTCTGGGGGGGAACCATGGGGCTGGGGAAGAGAAGGGGGCTCCCGTGGTGGTGCGGGTGGCGGGGGCCGTAGCGCCGCCGCCGCCAGCCACGTGGGGCCCAACGCCGCAATCCGGGGGCGCGTCTACGGCGGCCGGGAGGGCCCAGCTCTCTGCGCGCTCGGCTTGGCGCCCGTAATGGCGGGACGGGATTGGCCGGTCCGACCACGCGCAGCGCTGCGATTGGCCGGCGCCGTGCGGTTGCTATGGTTACCTTGAGGGGTGGGCGCAGTGCGCCCGGAAGCGCGGTCCCGGAAGTGGAGCCATGGCGGCGGCGGCGGCGGCCGCAGCGCTGCTGCTGATGGTGGCGGTGGCGGGAGGCGACGACTCGGACTGGGTGCGGCTGCCCAGCAAGTGCGAGGGTAAGCGGGGCCGGGGCAGGCCGCATGGCACCGGCGCGGTGCTCGGGCCGGCGGGGTTCTCTGTGCGGAGGCTGCGGGCTGCCCCTCTGCCCGGCCCCGCCGATGGGGGAGACGGGTGAGCCATGGGGCTGCTGCGTGGCCACCGGTGCCCCCGCGGCGTGTCACTGCCGGCGGGTGTCTGCTGCCCATCCGCCGGTGAGAGGGTGTTCCCGGTAGGCAGTGCCCGCAGGGCGGCGTGTAACGGGGCTGGTGATCTCTTCCACTCATCGCTCGGACTCGGTGGTGCTTCCTCCCTGGACAGTCAACGGCTTCACAGGCAAACCGGGGCAGGTCATGGCGGACCTTCGTTGTCTGCCGTGGTTTACTCTGTCTTTGCTGTGTAGGGACATGCGGAGCTTGGCAGCAAAGAGAAAAGGAAGATATGAACCTCTGGAGCTCTTTGCAAAGCTTTCCCTGCCAGGGAAGCAGCTCTGGGGACAGGGATGTGGGAGCTGTGTGGTGGCACCAGCATAACCTCAGAGAAGCACCACAGTGAGCACCGAGCGCGCTGCTCCTCTTCCTGCCCAAACTGGAGCCTGTCAGCACAGAGTGATGGCTGCAGCAGCACCTGGATAACCGGACCCAGCAGCGAGTGCTCCTGGCACACATGGTGTGATGTGGAGAGGGGTGACCTCGAGGCCAGGGGGGCTGCATGAAGGAGCACTCGTCCCACCCCAGAAATGGCTGCAGTCACCTCCAGCCCCTAGTGCCTGCAGAGAAAGGGAAGTGCAAGAGGTGCACACAGGGTATCCATTATGTAGTGGCAGCCTGGAGAAGCTACCTCATTATATTCCTTCCTTCTCTATTCACATCACTGCCTGGGAGAACTGGCAGCTGGTTGCTGGTGACTGTTCCTGCTGGGACTCCGGCCTTCTCCCAAAGCAGGGCTGGAAGAAGAGGCAGCACTTGGCAAACAGGAGTCCACAGCATAGGACAAAGCTCTCTCCATCCTCCTGGGAGCCCAGCTCTGGGGAACGAAGAACCAAAGCATGCCTGGCTTCCATCCCTCCACATTTCCACTTGTAAATCACCAGGATATTTCCCTTCTGGTTTCTGTTTCTATGTCTCTGTTAGACTCTGGTACAGAAGAAATAAAACTTTTGTTCTTTTTAATGTTGTGTAAAAGAAAACCTGCTCTATGTTATAAAGCTGTTGGCGCTGTGGTCTCAGATGCAGGCAGTGCCCCAGGCAGTGTGGATGGACCTCACCCCCCCTGCAGTCCTGTGTCCATCTCTGGGGGCAACAATACAAGGGGGATGTGGAGCTGTTGGAGTGAGTCCAGAGGAGGCCATGGAGATGCTGCAAGTGCTGGAGCAGCTCTGCTCTGGAGCCAGGCTGAGAGAGCTGGGCTGGGTCAGCCTGGAGAAGAGAAGGCTCCTCAAGGGGAGACCTTAGAGCAGCTCCAGTGCCTAAAGGGGCTACAAGAAATCTGGAGAGGGACTTTTGACAAGGGCCTGTAGGGACAGGACAAGGGGGAATGGCTTTAACCTGACAGAGGGGAGACTGAGATGAGACATTAGGAAGAAATTCTTCCCTGTGAGGGTGCTGAGGCCCTGGCACAGGGTGCCCAGAGAAGCTGTGGCTGCCCCATCCCTGGCAGTGTTCAAGGCCAGGATGGACACAGGGGCTTGGAGCAACCTGGTCTAGTGGAAGGGGTCCCTGCCTGTGGCAGGGGTTGGAACTGGATGAGCTTTAAGGTCCCTTCCAACCGAAACCAGGCTGGGATTCTAAGACAGCCCTTTGTGTGGTGACACAGTCTATAGCCACCATCTTGTCCTGCTGTTTGGTCCCCAACACTGCCCTTATGACCCCAAGCTGCTGGGAGAACTGTTATGGGGATAGGATGCCCTGGTGTCCTGAGGAGGAGATGAGGCTTGTGTTGCCAGAAGACTCCATCCTCTTCCAGGAGGAAGGGAGCAGCTTGTGGTGCAAAGGCTTTGGTGGCTGAGCAGTGGAGCTGTTTGGCAACCTGCAGGCAGAATGGGCGCTGCCTTCCCAGCTGTGCCATAGCTTGCACCATTCGGGTGCTCCTGCTTCAGTGGAGCTCCAGTGGAATTGGTTGGGCCATTCCCAGTTAGTTATTCCAGTGGCTGAGGCTTCTTTTTGCTCATAGTGGCTTCAGTGTGCCTGACCCCCGTGCTTGTTTCTGCTGCTGTGTCACGCTCCACACCCCTCCTAACCCCTGCTTTCCTTCCCACAGTGTGCAAGTACGTGGCAGTGGAGCTGAAATCTGCTTTCGAGGAGACGGGCAAGACCAAGGAGGTGATTGACACCAAGTACGGCTTCCTGGACGGGAAGGGCTCTGCCGTCAAGTACACACAGTCGTAAGTGAGAGCAGGACGGGGTTCTCTTGCAGTCACTGCTGCAGAAGGCAGAGCAAGGGCTTGGGCAGCCTGTGGAGGGGCTGAGGAAGCTGAACTGTGCCAGGCTATGGGGAGCTCCTTCTGCTGGCAGAGCTCCCCATCACACTGATGGGGGAAGGCTGAGGCTCACCCTGTGCCATGCTTGGGTCGGGGGGGCTGTGCTGAGCCCGAGCCCTCCCTCCTCTCCATGCAGGGACATCCGGTTAATTGAGGTGACGGAGAACATCTGCAAGCGGCTCTTGGATTACAACCTGCACAAGGAGCGCAGCGGCAGCAACAGGTTCGCAAAGGTGAGTCCCCAAATGTCCCCTTGCCTGCCGGGTGCTGCAGTGGGGCTCCTGGCCATCCCCTAGCAGTGCCCAGCATGCGGTGCTGTGCTCCCCCCAGGTGAGGTGCGGGTGCTGCACAGGGGGAGCCAGGGGTTGTCTTGCCCAGCCTGTGTCTTCCTGTTGGTTTTGGGACTGGGTTTGCAGATGGGGACTCCCTCCTGGCAACGCTGATGGCCAAGGACGCTGATTTTGGCAGGTTGGCAGGGAAGTGTTGGGGTTTCTGTGGATGAGCAGGGTTGCTGTATTGCTCGGGTGTTTCTGGTCGAGGCAGGTAGTGCCATGATAAGGATAAGGACAATATCTTCAATTGGGTTGTAAAGCATGGCCTGAAGGGCTGTTGTGTTAGCTTCTGCACAGCCCTGCCATCTGCCCATGAGAGGAATGATGTGATTCTGACTCAGCCCACGATTAGTAGAAATAGGTTGTTAGCAGCGGTCGATTTTAATTACAGCTACAAGGAAAAAGACATTGTCGTGTATGGTTCTGATGCTGTGTCTCCTGTTGCACATTGGAGAATGGATCATGTTGCAAACAGTGCAATGAGGAGGAATAATAAGGAGTACTGTTGGTCTATTTTGAAGCTAAGTGGGATTTTGAAATGCATGATGAATTGTCATCCTCGGTGGAAGGCGATGCTTTCTGACTCCAAGTGCACAAGTAGTGCTGTTGGTACTAGGCTGGTTAGAAAGGCTGATCTAACAGCGAGAGTGGTGGTAGCTGAAGAGGTTTGGGAGCAGGGGAAGGAGTCTTGGTGTGAGAGTAATTGTTAGTGTAAGGAGTACAGAGCTGTTAAGGGGCACTGTGGTTTCCATCACTTTTACTCGGAAGGGAGTGATGGGAGGAGCGAGGTTCGACCAAGCACTGCTGCTCCTCCAGGGCATGTCAGAGACCTTCGAGACCCTGCACAACCTGGTGCACAAGGGCGTCAAGGTGGTGATGGACATCCCCTACGAGCTGTGGAACGAGACCTCCGCTGAGGTGGCTGACCTCAAAAAGCAGGTACCGGGCTCAGTGGGATTGACCCTCAGCAGCCACGGTTGGCCTTGAGGGTCTGGGAATGGGGGTGCCACCAGGACCTGCTGCCCTGGTCCTGCCGTGGTGGCGCATGGCTGGAGCCAGGCTCTTCTCTGTGCAGTGCGATGTGCTGGTGGAGGAGTATGAAGACGTGATTGAGGACTGGTACAGGCACCACCAGGCAGAGGACCTTTCCCAGTTTCTTTGTGCCAACCACGTGTTGAAAGGGAAGGACACAAGTAAGTCCTGCCTGGTGCCCTGGGCAGCACAGGGCTGCTAGGGGGAGGGCAGGGGAACCCCGCTAGGGCACGGGGATCCCCGCTACTCCCTCAGCGGCCCTCCTCTGCTCCTCTTCTTCCCAGGCTGCCTGGCTGAGAAGTGGACTGGCAAGAAGGGCGACTTGGCAAGCACTGGGGAGAGGCAGAGCAAGAAAAAGAGTGGGAAGAAGAAGAAGAAGGGCCGGAAGGATGAGAGCGAGGGAGCCGATGGCCTCCCACCCACAGGGGAGGCCCTGGAGGAGAACGGGGTGCAGGAGGAGGCTCCGCTCACCCACAGCCCAGCCGATGAGCTGTAGGGATGCAGCCACAGCCCAGTGCTGCAGCCCCAGCCGCCGGGGCTGCCTGCTCCGCGGCCTCACCGAATGAGAAGGGACTTGAGCCACGGCGTGAGCGATGCCGGATGTCGGCCGGTGAGAAGCCGCCGACCCAGCCCCGCTGCCTGCCTCCTGGGCCTCCAGCTGCGGGAGGCCGCGAGTGCTGCCCCGGGGCCGGCTCCGCGCCCTGCCCGCGCTGCCCCCACCCCGCCGGTACTGTAAATAAAGACATTTTTTTGCTCCCCGGAGCCGCCGCCGCTGCTTCCCCGGCGGTGTCCGGACAGGCGCGGCCCCGCTGCTGCCGCCCGCCCGGCTCCACCGGGGGGACCGAGCCGGGCTCAGCGGGAAAACAGGCCCTAAGCCCGCCCCCTTGGCCAGGCCCAGCCTCCATTGCCCAGCCAATGGGTTGATAGGCGTGGCGGGAGAGAGCTGCGATTGGCGGGTCCGCAGGGGGGCGGGGACGGTGGGGATTGGTTCAGGCTTGTGTTGGAGGCGGGGCGGTGTGGGGGTGTGTATCAGGACGCAGGGCCGATTGGAGGGCTACGGAGGGCGGAGCCGGCCGGGATTGGTTGTGCAAAGGGGGCGTGGCTGGAGGCGTGGCGGCGGCGGGGGGCGCGGCACAGGCGGGCCGGGCCGGTTCGGTGTCGGCGGGATGGTGGATAGCGTGTACCGGACGCGGTCGCTGGGGGTTGCGGC